AAACATGAGCAACTCCCCCTTGCAGATGGCGATGACCCATTTTCTGTGTCAGCATCCTTTGATAATCCATATGAAGACAGCGAAGATAAGAGAGTGTTTGTTGTCATTTGCCCATCACACCAGCTTTATAACATTGAATCTTAATATTAATATATTTTTTCAATTGATTTATATTATTGGTTGAATGATTAAGAGGCAATCACTAGTTTTGAAAAAGGCCCTAGGTTACTGAATACCAAAGGTTTAATTTCATGGCCTCCAGTCCCCAGTGTGAATCTTTTAAAGATTTACTTAATTAAAGAGTGACTACTAGGTAAAAATGTGTCATGCTACAGTGATGCAATCTCACTGAAAGAAAATGATCTGTATATAAATGTTTGTATATTTGCACCATGAGTCCTTTATTACCTAGTTTGATTAAAATGATGTAGTTTAATATTGCCACAAAGATAAAATCTCCCCTACAAGATTTTGGGTCAATCTTGAGACCCAATTTCTTGGTTGTTCTCCAGATGGCCTTGTTGGCAACATCCCTAAGAATGTTCTCAGTAGGCAATGCTTCAAAGTTGAGGATGGGAAGTGTGTCCTGAAGCACACCCATGCTTATTATTGCCAGTGCCAGCATATCCTTCTTGTGGCAGGAAGAAAGTACTGCGAGTTTATACTTCATGGAGCGCGTGGTCCTGACTCAGTATAAAGGATTTCAAGAGATGAGCCTCTCACTAAAAAGCTTTTGTGTTTTCTGACAGCATTATGGATGCTTGTTATCATCCTTGAGGTCTTTGAATTGCATGTCCCTAGGGACCTCTTGCCATTTGTGTTAGTTGAGGGCATCTATTCCTCCTTTGGAATTACCTGATTGTGGTGTAATACCTGGAGACCCTACCAAATGTACTTCTCCTTTTGAGTCTTTGGAACCATTTGCAGCCACTGAAGGCGCATCACACACTGCTAGCATGGATGCTAGCATGGTTCACCTACATCAACTGCATCATATTCTGCCTTGTGTGACACCACAGCAACAGTGTTTGAAGAGTCTAACCACCCAAGCTTAAACTCCCAAGAAGAAATTGATGCTGCAGAGGCTGTCCTTCTAGCCACCAGTGTAGTGTGCAGTTCTAGTGAATGTGCTTCTGAACAAGGCCAGGACGTGTCTTTCCGTAGTGTACACCGACGTGTACTGGAATTTCACTAATACTTGTCTTTTGGAAAATTGGCTAATGATTTTCAGGCCCTACCAAATCACACAAGGACGAGCTCAGTGACGATCCAGAGTCAGCTCACAAAAGAGGGACATCCCTACCAAATCAGAGATGATCGTCTGTATGTAGATGCAAAATTCCTCACCTTGCAGTCTCTTCCACAATGGCAGCACTTAAGAGGTACAGCATAAACCATCTTCTTGTGACTTCTAAAAATTTAACCTGAATTTTATGTTGACCTGTCGCATGTATATTTATTGAATATTTTTACAATTCAGCTTAACAATAAGAATATAGAAAAGCAAACTATAAAAAATTCCAATTTTTGTGTTATTTTTAATTTACAGTCGTGACTGGTACCCTAGACTTGATGCTCCTCCGTCCATAACCGACAAGCAGCATCACAACAACCTTGACCTCTACAAGTACACACAGTGCAGTCTATGTCAGTGATCCTATCACAGCCCTCCCAGCTTACAATCTATGTTTCATAAGCCACTGGGATTTTGAGTAAGTCATTTAATATATTGTACCTAGGTCAAGGTAAAGAGGGCATAAATCTGATATAGAATGCTACTCGCATTTTCATTTTATTTCGCAATTTGACAGGTCAACTTTGTCTTTGTGGCCCTGATTGTAGTAGTCAGACTGTGAGATAATAAAATTTGTCGCTCTTGCTTTTAAATTTAAAGACAAAAGCTTAAGTTGTTACCGTTTCTATGAAAAATCTTGCACAATTTTAACTTTTCTTGCAACTATAAGCATGTTTACTTTTGCTATTGTAATTGGGTCTATTTTAAATAAGACAAAATAAAGCATGTTTTAAAAGGACACTTCTTGATATCACTATTCTTTGCTCGCTTAGTGTTCAAATCTTGTACAGTAGTAAGATAATAGTAACTTTGTTTATTCTCAGTTAATGTTTTTCATTCATGTGTATAAGGAAGAGTTTTTTGCAGACAAGAAAAAAAGCGGTAACATTGTGGGTTGTCACATTAAACACTTAAGAATGTAACAAAGTACTCAGTACCCAGGGTTCTTTTTAATGTCAAGGCCAAGATCTCATGAAGTGAACAACATACAATTTCTCGTGACAACTTCTATTGCTTACCTAGAACCAATTCAATGAAATGAACAACAACAGGAGCATAATTGAAACTTAATAAATGAGTCAATAAATGAGTCACAAACTCAGCCAAAATGCTAAAAATCTTCCATGTTTACTCAAGATTGGGCTTATAGAAGATCATGTCACAGTTTCTCAATGACCATGAAATTCGGAGTCCGGGTAGTTAGTTACTCAATTGTGGCCCTGAAAAAATTTGAAGTACAAAAAAATACGAATTTTTAAGAAAATGCTCTTTTACGTGAGAAGGACTCTTAAACGCTGACAAACGTCAACACATAGTGACAACTACAATTTCTATATGTTTGCTTTGCTCAAAATCGCATCCATTTACAAGGCCCTAAAGCGTTTTGCTGACTTGCAAGGACCCATCTGTTATAACGATGCCCAAAATAAAGGGATCAATCTCATAATTTATTAGATATAATCGCGAAAAGTTTGCTTATCATTTTTGCATAAATTATAACATAAATTTGGAAACCACTGAATTTCTCGAATTGGGTCGTTGCGATTTTGGTGAAACTCTGTTCAGCGCAAGGCACTAATGCGCACTATGTGTAGCCGAGAGATTTTCACGAAAAAATGCCGGCAACAGCAGATATTTGACTCAGACCTCAAAGGGGCGTGGCATTATAACCACGTGACATTTACTCCGATTGCCAAAAAGTTTATGTTATATTGTAGATTGATCTATATGTTATCCATTCTATGTGTTAGACTTACGATAAAAGTAAAGGTGGGAATACCAGAGAGCTTTAAAGTAGGATGGTACCCCCCCCCCCCCAAAAAAGTGGGTAGAGTCACCTTAATCAAATTGGTGCAGTATGGACTTTAACATGGCAGAGTTTATAAGATAAGAGCAGTAGTTAGCTGTAGTATTTTATAAAGTTTGATCTTGTATACTGCGAAGTGACTGGGTGAAAATGAACTCAATCTATTTGGGTTTTGCATTACTTTTTCTGAATATGCGAAAATAACTTCAATTTAGTATATAAACAAATTTTTGGGGCTCTCATGGCATGTCATCATTTGTTTGACTCATTGTCACATTACTGATCACGCCAAAAAGAAAGCATGGAAAGTTTCAAATACGTTTTTAAGTGGACCTGTCAGGTTTAATACGGTAAAGATATCGCAGAATTTACCATATTCTCTTACCGAGAATGATCAATACAAGCATTTGCCAAATGTATCAGAAATGATAACAGTGATCATTTTAGCATTAACTCGCCAGATGTCTATTTTGAACGGTGTTGCGCATCAATTGTTATGTAGTATGGATGTCATGATTCAGAAATACAAAATTTTTTTGTGAACTGCAGTGGTGCAAAGAGACAGTTCAATGAGAGTAAAAAAAAACGAGATCAATCAAGGGTCCTTGCTGGAATAGCAAAGTTTTTTATTGCCTGTAAACAAAAGCAAAACAGAAAAAAAACCTGTCAACCAGTTTGAGAACCACTCACTCAAAGTATTCCCCTAGAAAACGCCATAGGACCTTGTCAGTTATTCCTGAAGCAGGTGAATTATACAGACGACTCCCGATAACTCGCACAAAATGGGGAAAAAAAGACAAAAACAGTTTTTACCCTGCGTAATGAACAATTTAATCACTTTTTATTGTAGAAATGTCAAGTGAAAATTAAAGACACTTCTAGATTACAAATCAGAACGTAACGTAACAAACAACATCAGCCTCCACTAGTAAACTATATGCCTACAACACGTCAATGGGAAATTCAAAATTCAATGTTTCTGATGCCAGTAGACTGTTTTCCCCCTGACTTTTAAGGGCTCGAAACATGTTTCGAGGTATTGAGGGTAAAATTATATACAAATTATCTGAGGGGAAACAGAAACTACTTCGAGTTTTCAGGAGGTTTGAGTCGTCGAAAGTTTGAGTAACCAAGAGTAAAATTACAGTAAATGTATGACAGAAATCCAGAGGAAATTGATTTTGGTTCGAATTAGCGAGGGTTTGAGTTATCGCGCATCAACTCTTCTTGAAAGTTTTAAACACCTGGCCAATGCAGTTGTTCAAACGTTGGATAACTCTATCCAGCGGATAAATTACTATCTAATGGATAAATGGATAAGTGTTAGGGAAACTAATTGTGTTATCCAGTGGATAGTGATTTACCCAGTGGATAACACTATCCACCTTTTAAGAAACTGAGTCCTGACTTTCATTTTAGGTGAGTTAATTATATAGATGTTAGTTAATCCGATATTGTCAGCAAAGCTATAATCCTTTCATTTTTACTGAGTGTCCAATTAAGGATTAATTTGGATAGTTTCAGATAGGGCTTTCCTTTACATATGGGCAAACTGTCCAATTTAAGAAAAATAGGACAGCTGGTCTGAGCCAATCAAATGCCAGAAAATACAAAAGGCAATGCAAACTAGCCAATCAGCGCAAAGTCCCTGTGACAATGCACCAAAAAATGTATCATTGGCTGACGGCGGTTCGTCAGAGAACACTCTTGGCTTCTTGTTGTTGTGAATGTCATTTTGTTTTGCTGCTGTTTCGTTTTGGCTTCTTGTCTGAGACATTCAAAAGGAAAATGTATGACCAAACTGATGAAAGTTTGTATTGGAAACAATCAATGCATAGATTCTTGAAAATGTACAAGCACTGAAACTTTGGACAAGAATAAGAAAACACTGATACTTGC